TAACCACACGATTACACAGTTTAGTTTTGAGATATGGATTCTGTTTAATACTAACAATGTTAACATTTTTGTTGGTGCGTAACCTTATTTGCATTATATTTTAAACTCAATTTAAACTCAAGATGTATGATTGTGTTTGCTACATTTTTTTTTATCGTAAATGAAATATGACGATTAGGAATAGTAATGCGTTTAATTGCCTTTGGTATTGTCATTTTTGCTACGTGTATACGTTGGCATATTTTTATTTTTTCTTCATTTACTAGTATTAGATCTAATGTTTGATTATTCAAGTTTCTGCCTTGCGCTTTCATTGGTGACAAAGACAGCACTTCAGAAAATATAATTTTTCAGTTATCAGATTGAATATCATACCAGTATGTTAAGAAACTATCATTGAGGCAAATGCTAACTGGCGTTTTACATAGAAATTATAGAGGTTATTATGTACATTCTAAATTTTTCTGTTTCGATCAGGCCAAGGAGTACACATCGGGAGTGTCAGTAGGCAAGGGTTGATCACTCCGTTAGGGCACAATATCCCTCCTCTGGAGATTTTGGACGTCCATGAATAATTGGATCCATATTTGTTTTATTTTTAGCTCACCTCAACGACGTTGGGGGAGCTTATGTAATACCCTCGGCATCGGCGTCGGTGTCGGTGTCTGCGTCCCGGGTTAAGGTTAAGTTTTTGGAGCAGTTTCTTTTTAAGTACTTCTATGTCCTATATTGATTAGACATGCATGGAAGATGTTTCTAGTGTGTTTCATTGTACCAGTCAAAGTTTCAGATGCTGCAATTTCAGCAAAGGAATGACCAGGTTAATGTTTTTGGAGCAGGTTAACATTTTTGGTGCAGTTTTTGGTGTAGGTCTCATTTCCGAGTAACTATAAGCCCTATGTTGACCAAACTTGCATGGATGGTACATCTTAGGATGCACACTGCCAGGCATACTTCGGATGCTGAATCTGACCTACATTTTCCGCATGAGTGAACAGGTTAATGTTTTTTTGGGGGTGCAGGTCTCTTTTCCAAGTAACTATGAGCACTATAGTGACCAAACTTGCATGGATGATACATCTAAGGATGCATACTACCAGACTTGCTCCGGATGCTGAATCTGACCTACATTTTCTGGACGAGTAAACAGGTTAAAGTTTTTGGTGCAAGTTTCATTTCAAAGATACTGTGAGTCCTATAATGACCAAACTTGCATGGCTGGTACATCTTAGGATGCATACTACCAGATTTGCTTCGGATGCTGAATCTGACCTACATTTTCCGGTTGAGTAAACAGGTTAATGTTTTTGGTGCAGGTTTCATTTCAAAGATACTGTGAGTCCTATAATGACCAAACTTGCATGGCTGGTACATCTTAGGATGCATACTACCAGATTTGCTTCGGATGCTGAATCTGACCTACATTTTCCGGTTGAGTAAACAGGTTAAAGTTTTTGGTGCAGGTTTCATTTCCAAGTTACTATGAGCCCTATAATGACCAAACTTGCATGGATGATACATCTTAGGATGCATACTACCAGACTTGCTTTGGATGCTGAATCTGACCTACATTTTCTGGACGAGTGAACAGGTTAAAGTTTTTGGTGCAGGATTCATTTCCAACTAACTCTGAGCTCTATAATGACCAAACTTGCATGGATGGTACATCTAAGGGTGCATTCTACTAGGCTGGCTTCGGATGCTGAATCTGACCTAAATTTTCCGGATTAGTGATAAGGTTAGTTTTTTATACAGGTTTCATTTCCAAGTAACTTTGAGCTCTTTGTTGAGCAAACTTGCATGGATGATACATCTTAGGATGCGCAGTAATGGACTTGCGTCAGATGCTGAATTCAACATACATTTTCCAGATAATGGACCTCGTAAAAGTTATGGGTGCAGGTCTATTACCAAGAAACTATAAGGCTTATTTAAACCAAACTTGCACAAATGATGCATCAAGGGATGAAAACTCTCAAACTTGCTTCAGATGCTGGATTTTAATTACGTTTTCATAATGAAGAACTAGTTTGAAGTTTTTATATAGGTCTATTCCAAAGTATCAAATCAAAATTGCATAAATTTTGCATTTTTGGATGTACACTTTTTGTGGGTAATTGTGTGACTTTGCCTTACTTAAAGACAACATTCGTTGAGGTGAGCTCTGTAATCTCTGATTACCTATGTTTATATTTTAAAATTAAAGCTTAAATAACGTTTGTTATCTCCATATTTTATTATAAAGGACTTACAACATTGTTCAACAATACAATCTATTGATATGAACGAAAATTAAATCTTTGGTAACACAAATTCAATTGTTATCTTTTATGAAATATCTCTCTCTCTAATTCTCTCCCTCTCTCTCTCTTAGCTGAATCGCAAAAATAAACATAGATAAAATCATATAAAACATTCTAATGTAAAACTTTCTAGAAAATGTAAGCTATTGATTAAAATACTCAGTACTGTTATTTCAGTATTCTAAACAAATAATTTTTTTAAATTATTCAAGTTCAACTAAAATTATTATAAAAATAAAAATCTGATGAAAATAAAAACAAAGAAAAATCGATATTCCAAAATTTGGTCAATATTTTTATGAAACATTTTTTAAAGTATACATTTTTATCCCACGCGCTTAGCCATTAAGGCTATTGTGAGTACTTCTAAATATACTTTGTGTATACTTTTGCAACAGTTCACCTGTTGAATTATAAAAAAGCATTCATAATTTCGTCGTCGTCGTTGTATGTCGCCTTTTCTTTGTCTATTAAATAGGTATGATACTTTTAAATTTCAAAAATAAAACTTCTTAGCGCCTTTATTTTATTTCGACGTTAAGAAAGTATATGTAACACATTATACACATTACATATCAAAGTAGTTACACTAAAGCAGTGAAACGGAAATTAAGTTTGTTCACTCAATTGCAACGTTCTAGCCACGCCCTTTTCCAGTTTTAGGGGAGATAATCATGAATATATACAGTTAAAAATTAATGGCATTTTTAAAAAATGACTTCTTTGTACAATTATATATCTTCAGTTAATACCACTAGGCCAGGAAATTGCCTCACTATACAACTGACTATATGTGGTGCCTCTTGATTTAGCCTTTAACACCTGTAGTGTAGATTACAGGTTTTAACTTAGCCAAGTAGCTACAATATACCCCACAGTATGATTTAACTTTGTAAGGCTTCTCTGGACAAACCTATAGCTAACGTCACACAACTATATTTTAACAAGTCACAAACTACAGCAACTTTGCACAATCCGATTTTTTACATAGGAATATATAGGAAAAATCTTTAAAAATCTTCTTCTCAGATATCATATTGATAAAATACCACTGCCTTTCTTTTGGCAACAGGAAAGATGAAATCATTTATCAATAATACTTGTATAATTCTTTTGTCAATTGACCAATTAATTACAATATTTACATTGATTAGCTATTATAATATAAACAAGTTTGTTCCCCCAACCATTTCACTACTACGTTAGAGTCGAAGTAGTTTTTAACATTTCATGTATCCTTATGTCAGAATCGTTTAATCAAACGCAAGGGTGGGGCCAAAATGGATGATTTTCAAATTTTACATAGGAATATATAAAAAATCTTAGTTAAAATCTTCTTCTATTCCAAAAATAACTGGGAAAACAAAAAAGATGAAAATACTTTTTTCATGCATGGAATCATCCTCAGGTAGTGTAGATGCAAGTTTGTTCAAAGTTTCATGATATCTTTTACCCCTGAAATTAGGGTGGGGCCAAAATGTCCCGCTGTCCCAAGTTTTACAAAATCGGATATATAGGGAAACCTTTTAAAATTTCTTTTCAAGTACTTCAAAGCTACAAAATTTTGAAAAAAAATTAAAAAGTGATATTTATATGGAATCATCCTCAGGTAGTGTGGATTCTAAAATGGTTTGTTCAAATGATTATTGAAGGCCTGGAAAGGGGTGACCGGAAGTGACGACGACGGGACGGAAAATTAAGATTTAAGCTTCCAGTGTGCTCAGGTGTCAAGAACAGCAAAAATATGCAAAATTTGCCTCTTGTTTGAAATTAAGTGCCGACTGGCAGTTTTTCATTTAATCCAATTAATTACACATTGCATTGTCTACTGAATTTCTTTTGTTTGACAGATCATGATAATGAGGGCATTGTGGGCTTGATGTCAGCAGAGGATGGTTGATATCTCTTTTGCAAGATCCTACATTCTTCACAACTTTTGCATATGTCTTCACAAAATATTAACGTTTAAAAAGATATGCTTGTGAAAAATTTCAAATTGCAATGTTTTACATATAACAGACTTGATCTTGTATTAAGTTCCTTATTTCTATCATCTATTCAACAATGAACAGGTGTACATTCAAAAAGTATGCGTGAGGTATGTTAATTTCTGAAAATCACTAAATCGCGGAAATCTCAAAACAACAAAATATATATATCATGTACCCCAAAGTAAAAATCGACATTTAATAAATAGTTTTAAATTAATAATAAAAAGAATAAAAATAGTGGAAAAGAAACCTAAGAATAACAAGAAGGTCTTCCGCTGAAGACGGAAGACCTTAATAAGAAACAGTAGAATAACTATAAGGTCTTTCGTGAAGACGAAAGACCTTAATAAAAATCTGATGAAAATAAAAACAAAGATGATATTCCAAAAATGGGAATATTTTTATGAAACATAAAGTATACATTTTTTAAAATTCATTGCCTTAGTTTTTCATTTAATTTTACACATTGCATTTGAATTTCTTTTGTTTGACAGATCATGATAATGAGGGCATTGTTCGAACAAAATGACTTCAATTTGTACAAAATTTGAATGTAACGTCAGGCGGATTGACTTTTAAGGCAAGTTTTTGAAATTGCAATGTTTTACATATAACAGTCTTGATCTTGTATTAAGTTCCTTATTTCTATCATCTATTCAACAATATGAAGTAATTTTTTTATCCAATCAAATACAGCGTTACAACCAGAATTAAATTATTAATGGATACAATAAAACATTGAGACAATTTTTTGATTGTCAAAATAATTTGAATGGAACATGCATAAAGCTTCCCAGATGGTTCTTCGTAAAGAGGATCACATTTTTATCATAATGTAAAAAAGGTATTAAACCCAAATATAATATACAAATACTAAATAAAAAATCCAGAAGTTTAAACATATATGCTCGAAAGACAACATAAAAACACCATTGACTATTTTCTTAAAAATGCCAAAGAGGGACAATTTCTGTAATATAACTCATCATAATATATAAAGGTCTTTCATAAAAATAATTTTAAAACTGATAAATAATTATAACAAATGAAGTGTCATTATCATCATTATCTTTACATATAGTATGTGAAAAGATGAAGGTGTTCTATTGTAGGTCATGGGTTAACTAAACGCTTGGAGACATAGTTAGGAATGTTCCGGTATATCTTTTCCGACTGTGTGCACCAGACCATGACGGAGTGTGAAGAATTTGTCTCTACTTATGCTCTTCTTATCCAGCTCTTCACCAAGCTTCGTCCGAGGTTCCAAATAAAACTGTACATACAAAAAAAAGATTAAAGTTATTTTTGATAGATATAACTCTATCGGGTGGTTCATACCAAATAACACTTGTAATGGCTACCAATATGAAAATAAGACCAAATAAATCCAAAAATAAAGGTTTGACGTTAGTATAACGGACCTCTCTTGTCATCCTGAACGTTCCCCAATGTATACCCAAGGCATTCTTAGCTCCAACGTCTTCAAATATTTTCACTGCCTCTTCCGGATCTACATGCATGGGTCTCATAAACCACCTTTATGATAAAAATATTGTGTTCATCTTCATGATTAGAATACCAGGAGAGAGAGAGAGAGAGAGAGAGAGAGAGAGAGAGCAAGAGAGAGAGAGATTGATTGTCAGGGGTCTTGTTAGCAACTTATGCAATATACGAGTACAACTTGATCAATTTCCTTGATGAATCAAAGGACACTGTCTCCGATTCATTAACTATTCCTTTTAGCTTACCTTGGATAGTAGGTTCCTATTGGGATTGCAGCGAAGTCTATAGGTCCGTACTTTCTTCCGATCTGTTTGAAACCACAACAGTAGCCTGTATCCCCGGCAAAGTAGAAACTCTTCGTGGGTCCCTTGACTATCCAACTACACCAGAGAGCCTGAAACATATCCAAATGAATATAATGATTTTTAAAGAAATAATTCTTTCCTAGCAGGTATAGAAATTCATAAGAAAATTTGCTACGGGTTAATGTTTAAGCAATTTCTAGCACTTGTTACTATTCATGAATTGGATTCAAAAACTTTTTTTGCACCGTTTATTTGTTTATATAAAGTATACCCCTGAAAAAAATCCAGTTATTTGATTATTTGCCAGTTTGACGTTTACCTTTTAATTGTCCTTTTTGCCTTAAACTCTTACAATTTACCTTCATAGCATCCCATAGTGTACGTTCACATCGATGTTGACAAGGGACGCTAGCAAACTTAAAATCTGATCTTCCAGGTAACTCCGCTTCTTCCCACCAGGACAACTCAATCACATTCTTACAACCTGCATTCAACATCCATTCCTTCGTTCCCGCCGCTACAAACCAAGTGATCTTATCACTGAACTTGGAATTGAGGCTTTGCACACTACCATAGTCCAAGTGATCGTAGTGGTTATGACTGATGATAACAGCGTCTATATGTGGTAGATCTTCTATTTTACAGGGTGGAGGACGGTATCTTTTTGGTCCCATAAACTGTACAGGGGAGCACCTATCCCGAAATATTGGATCGGTGAGAATAGTAACTCCGTCCATCTGTATCAACACGCTGGCATGGCCTATCCACATTATCTGAAGCTCAGATTGTGGAGGGTTGCGTAATTTTTCAAAATCAGGGGTTTCCACTGGTAAGGTTTTATCCAACTCCTTTCATGAAAAAAAAAATACATAGTCAATTATTGCACACGTGTAATATATAGTATGTATTATCCTTAGATTTTCGTTTCCAAAAAAAATTAATTTGTCCTCAAGGTAGCTCACAACACTTCGGATTTTTTCACATAGACCTTTCTTGAAGTAAGGAAGACGGGTCCATAGACGTAAAATTGAATGCACTTGAGTTTGGTTCGTAGCATACAATTTAAACCAATTATAGTATTCTTTATATGATTTATAAAATAAAAAATAAAAAATATATATATATTTTGACACAATTGGTCTAAACGAACGAAATAAGGTAATTTTGTTTTTCAAGCCTATGTTTAGTCGGTCCGAAATACAGAAGGGGTGTAACTGTAGATATGCTCCTTTGCAAGGTTAAATGTAAAACTTTACTGTAGAATGATCTTTTTTCAGATGAATTAAAGACTTTAAGAACTAGCCAATGTTGATAATTCCGTAAACTCAGAATGTACTACATGTAGTACAGAATATCTTTACATGCCATTGTCATATGGTTTTCTAACACACACACACATACCCTCTCTCTCTCTCTCTCTCTCTCTCTCTCTCTCTCTCTCTCTCTCTCTCTCTCTCTCTCTCTCTCACACACACACACATACACACACACACACCTTTCCAAAAAATAAATATATAGAGCTCCAAGTTTCTTTAAATTTCTTTTATAATCTCTGCTTCTATATATCTTTTGAATGTTCATTCTTATTTTTAAAAAAGTCAGCTTGACATAAGTACAGACCCGCTGATTGGGTATTTTGCTGAAATCTTCACTCCTCATCAGTTTGAAGAGATTTCCAAACCCAGGTGTATTTGCCCATGTGTCAAACGGATTTTCATACCTTCCGTTTTTGTATATGGGACGAATAAGATCTTCATCTGTACCGTCCATTTTTTCTAACAAAAAATTAAAAAATAAACATATTATCCATGCAGCCTTATCATAAAATACACGTAGTTTGCAAGATTCCGTAATATAGTTGATTTCTCCCACGATTTCGTCTGAAACAGATTTTATTTGTCCAAACAGCTGGTAAGAAAATAAGATTGTCTTTTGACTTCTCAATGCATTATACGAATGTAAACCCGATATCTATTAAACACCCCAAAGTGATAAATTATTTGATAGAATATGTATAAAATATAAATTTTATTCCAACTTTCTGCAAGGTGGCAGACAACTGAAAACGACTTGATAATATTAATGATATTCAATGCGAAGCCTTTTTATATTCTTTTTATAATCACTTTTTGTGCACATCACTTTGGAATGCCGTGTGTAAAATGGAATAAAAAGTATCACGAAAATCGGATTCACTGGATATGACGGTAAATACACAATTAAAAAAGTATACAATTAATCAGTATCATATACTCACCGTCAATAGAAACGCAACACCCTAATTTTTGGGTGAAAAATTATGTACAGGATATAATTATTTACCAAAAAAATTAGGACTTCTTTAACTTTGCCAAATCAGTTATTTAACGGATGAATGATTTTTATTCCATTACCTGAAGTTGATTTTAGCCTTCTTAACAGAAATCAAATATTAGCATTTTTGATAAAATATTTGACAATATTTTGGGTTTTTAAGGTTTTGTACCTATTAATCATAAGTATTGTACTAAAATCCCGGGAAAATATATTTCTTTCTTTTCCGGATGTGATTCCTGTATTTCCTCAAAATTAACTAAAGCAGGCATTTTCATCGATAATGCTGGAAATTCTCAAAATAAAGAAAAAGGAGAGCTACAGATGCAAATATACGCTACATAACGACTTTTCGGGCTCATGTGTTTCAAAAGCATGAATGACAGTTCATCGACCGGAAGTATAAGGGTTGCTACACTGCGCCAAGTTAGAGAAAATTCGACCTCACTATCTGAAAAAAGGCATTTAAAAATGCCCAAAAATATTTATTTTGCTCAGATAAAGACTAATAAACCTAATGCATTGTAGAAATCGGACTGCGTATGTTGTACAGGGCGGACTAGCATGTTTTAATTTAATGTCGGAAGGGGGGATGTTTATTTAAAAGTTATCTGTTACGAGGGCTAAAAAATCAACTTTCGGTAATTGAATGAAAATCATTCAACCGTTAAATAACTGATTTGGAAAGTAAAAGATGTCCTAACTTGTTTGGTAAATAGTTATATTCCGTATATACTTTTACCCCCTAAAATTAGAGTGTTGCGTTTCTATTGACGGTGAGTATATGTTCGTCTAACTGTCCTTTTCCATGTTATCAATATTATCAAATTAAAATCAAGTCAATCTATTTTTAAATAATAAAGGGAGTAAATCTGAATTAATCGTAAACATATGAAATATGATAATGTACATACACACAACTCGAAAGTAGAACGAGACTAATCTCTTTGTGTGTAATTGTGATGAGAACAGTGTTCCATAAGAATTATTCGATGCCAATGTAAACAATATCCTCTTTTAAATATACTGTATATTACTGTCAGTACGAAATAAATACAATGTTATTGATATCTAAGTTAATCATATATATATATCAATTATTTTCAGGTCCTTGTACATGTTGTATGACCCATATTTCTTACAAAATTAATAATATTTTATAAATGACACTCAGACCCCTTGAGCTGATTACATTATAATGTTTTAATTGTGGTTTGTTAAATTTGACGATTTCTAATCTTCTGTACCGTCTTCTTTTGCTGTTTATCATATACTTTTCATACAAATAGATTACAAAAAATAGATCATCAGTAAATAAGTTATATTAGCCTAATTAAGTCATGTATACAAATAAATTCAGACCAGCAACAAAAAAGACGACTTACCGGTTTTTAATTTAGAATGAAGCGTTTCGATGGATTGTCGTTAATATATCGCCTGTATTTTTAATTAATGACATAACACTATCACGATGCCCACATAACTAGAGAACTTTTAAGAACGGGTGATATTTTCTAGGACATTACTTAACATCATCCGTGTAAAGCGATATACGGACACCAGTTAGTGCAAAAATCCAATATTTATACCCCCACTTGAAAAGTATAGTATAGTATAGTATAGTATAGTATAGTATAGTATAGTATAGTATAGTATAGTATAGTATAGTATAGTATAGTATAGTATCTCCCATGATTTGTAGTTGGATATAATTTTTATCCAACGAGTTGTGTGATATTTATTCTCGAGCCTTGCCAAGGCGAGGGGATATAAAACACACAACGAGTTGGATAAAAATCATATCCAACTACAAATCATGGGAGGTTAAGGCTCGGGAATAAATATCACACAACTCGTTGGATAAAAATTATATCCAACTTCAAATCATGGGAGATTTTTTTATCCCATGTATATGTTACAGGGGTTGTTAATACACAAAACACCTGCGGGTTCGTTTTACACATTGGTTTATTCAAGGAGTCATCTTACAAGAAAATAGCCCTGAAAATACAATACATATTCAATCATGATATAACAGGGTAGGGTAGGGTAGCGTAGCATAGGGTAGCGTAGCATAGCGTAGTGTAGTGTTACGCTTTGGGGTACCCATTTCTTATCCGCAACTTCTTTCATACCACGGAATTAAATTTTATGAGAAAAAAAAATCATTTAGTGAGCTCATTGCTCACAGTACCTCTAGTTTAGTCTAGTTATATTGCTGCACATTAAATAAATAATTGTTTCAACGTCTGGTCGAGAGTTTTTCAATCATATGGTGACTTCAACACTGCAGTGGAAGGCTACAAGTCTATACCTATACAATTACTCGGCGGTCGGTGCCATTGGAATCTTTTTTGTCCCAACACCTACATGTACTGTATCACGGGAGCTCGATCATCCATCCGATCATCTGATGGATGAACCAGTTTCCATGTCCCGCAGTGAATTCAAACCCGCGACTTTAAAGCTAACGCGTTTCTGAGGAGGGGATAGCTGCAGAACTGTTGGTCAAAGACTAATATATAAAACCATAACGCTATAGTTCTGCAGCTAAGAAGGGGAGTATAATGAGTGTAATTCGGAGTTAGAGACCTTGTGTTATTATTATACCATGGACTAAAGAAACAAGTGCCCGTGGCTTCAATCCAGGCTTTTCTTCTAGGTTCTGTTAGTTGGGTCCCCGAAACATACTGTATTATTAGGGAATGTTTTCTAAAATACGTATGTTGTAGTCCTGTTTGCACCACGTTATTGAATAAGAAAACTGAATTGCTTTATTACATTCGTAATAAGTTTTTTAAATAGTACGTTTCATTGATGGAACAGGCACTGATTAAGAAGTCTGTTACAGGTGATATGCCTAATGTTGTCCATGAATTGATAAATTGCAATGATTGTCTCAAGAAATGAAGGAGGAAATATTCAGTGGATGTAAATATAATGAAACATATGGAGATGGTGAACAGTAATCAAGATCAATATAAATAAATCAAGAGACAGACATGAAATATTATCTGTGATATTTAACGAAAGGTGTTCGTGAGCATTTCACGTTCCCCCATTTAATACCAATAAATTTATATTTCCAGTTGTTTTCTCCTTGATGATTCCTTAAAAGGTCAGTTTGTAATTTTTCTCGATTTTTACAACTGGATGTAATTTTCGCCAACTAAAAGATAAAACGCCCAACAGCTAAAGCATCGATTTCCCGGGGCATCAAGTCAGTGGAATGGAAATGTTCAATGCTTCGTAAATTTCACTTCTTTCAATTCTTTTAGTCAGCATTTTCTTTTTATTTTAACCCATTTATGTCACATTAAAATTTACTTAAGAAATCACTGTCTTGTTTGTTAGGTGTGTCAGGGACATTATTGGCATTGCTACAATATGAAAAGACTTTGCCTAGCTTTCTAATCCAGTATTCTGCACGTTTTCAACGGAAAGGTGTATTCAATGATGGACTTTTAGTACTGATTATGGTGCATAGTATCTGGAACTTGGAAAGCTTATACCAAGACCCGAATCACATACTCCACGTCTCTCTAGTGAATAAAATATCACTAGCTAGAGTTTATTGGAAAATGGGATATTAACTTAAAATTAAGCAATCTTTTATTTTTCTGAATTGAAGATTCAGGGTATATATTGTTTTTGCCTTGTCTGCCTGATTGTTTGTATGTTTTCCGCCAAAGTTTGTAACTTTTAATTGATTGGAGATATGTTTCTCATATCTCAAATTTGTATTCCTTGTGACAAGAACTTTCTTTAGGTACCAACGTGTATTTTAACTCTTCACCTTGACTTTGAACAGAGACACATAAAACCATATTTGTCTCTGCTTTGTAGTATGAACCATTTCCGCAAAAATTAAATTACTAAACTCCAACCTAAGTGATAAACACAGGCATCTGACGTTGCTTATTTTCCTTTTAATAAAAAAATATATTCCCTACCTATCAATACAGTGTATTATTAGGTAAAGGGAATATTTTTTTATTAAAAGAAAAATAAATAACGTCAAATTATTAGGAATAAGTTATATATATTCTTTTATTATAAGAAAATGAGTAACGTCAGGTGCCTGTGGTGATAAGTTTTTTTACCAAGCAAAGTTTAGAATTTTTTTAACTTATACAAAGACTTATTCAAATAATTGAAGTACACATGTACGAGTACTAGACTAATATAAAGAACTCTTCATACTTAAAAATGGAAATAATTAATTAATTAAACATGATTTCTCATCTAATGAAAAACTGACTGTTTTCGTGTTGGGAGTGAAATGACCTAGAATGTAAAGAGATATGACGTAGGTAGACTGGGTGGAAATAACCCAGACAGAACAGGCATTGGAGGAAAACGACCTGGATTAATCGATATATAATATATTAAAAATTGCAAAGTTGTAAAAAATCAATTTAGATCATTTGAATCCTGATATGTCTGTTTTGTTTTACAATTCTTCTGATTAAATCATCTTCAACAGTTTCTTTGAAAGTTGTACATATTTCACATAGTGTAAAACTGATGGCTTACTCAGAAAAAGAACATTGAATAGGAAATTTGAATTCAAACCCGCGACTTTAAAGCAAACGCGTTTCTGAGGAGGGGATAGTGCAGAACTGTAGCGTTATGGTTTTATATATTAGTCTTTGACCATAATGGTCAAAGACTAATATATAAAACCATAACGCTATAGTTCTGCAGCTAAGAAGGGGAGTATACTGAGTGTAATTCGGAATTAGAGACCTTGTGTTATTATTATACCATGGACTAAAGAAACAAGTGCCCGTGGTTTCAATCCAGGCTTTTCTTCTAGTTTCTGTTAGTTGGGTCCCCGAAACATATTATAAGGATATGTTTTCTAAAATACGTATGTTGAAGTCCTGTTTGCACCATGATATTGAATAAGAAGACTGAATTGATTTATTACATTCGTAATAAGTTTTTTTTTTAAATATAGTACGTTTCATTGATGGCACAGGCATTGATTATTAAGAAATCTGTTGTCCATGAACTGATAAATTGCAAAGGTTTTCTTAAGAAATGAAGGAGGAAATATTCAGTGGATGTAAATATAATGAAACATATGGAGATAGTGAACAGTAATCAAGATCAATATAAATAAATCAAGAGACAGACATGAAATATTATCTGCGATATTTAACGAAAGGTGTTCGTGAGCATTTCACGTTCCCCCATTTAATACCAATAAATTTATATTTCCAGTTGTTTTCTCCTTCATGATTCCTTAAAAGGTCAGTTTATAATTTTTCTTGATTTTTACAACTGGATGTAATTTTCGCCAACTAAAAGATAAAACGCCCAACAGCTAAAGCATCGATTTCCCGGGGCATCAAGTCAGTGGAATGGAAATGTTCAATGCTTCGTAAATTTCCATTCTTTCAATTCTTTTAGTCAGCATTTTCTTTTTATTTTAACCCATTTATGTCACATTAAAATTTACTTAAGAAATCCCTGTCTTGTTTGTTGGGTGTGTCAGGGACATTATTGGCATTGCTACAATATGAAAAGACTTTGCCTAGCTTTCTAATCCAGTATTCTGCACGTTTTCAACGGAAAGGTGTATTCAATGATGGACTTTTAGTACTGATTATGGTGCATAGTATCTGGAACTTGGAAAGCTTATACCAAAACCGGAATCACATACTCCACGTCTCTCTAGTGAATAAAATATCACTAGCTAGAGTCTATTGGAAATATAGAATATCACACTGCTGTTTTGATCTCGGCCCTGGTATCAGCCCGAGCTGTTGGTTTCGGCCCAAGCCCGGAGGGCGCGGGCCGAGACCATCCGAGGGCTGATACCAGGGCCGAGATCAAAACAGCAGTGTGATGTTGTTTATATCATATAACTAAAACCAAAGAAAAGAACAAAAATTTTAATATTTATTTTTCGATCAAAAAGTTCATTTATTGTCGTAAGAAAATTGGAGTTATTTTTCTTTATTTCGATGTTCCTGATATGTTGCTTGACGGTGAATAATAATTTACGAGAAAGATTTGCATGGTCTGGTCATTGAAAAGAATAGTGTTTTGAAACATTTCATTTCGAAGCACATTAGACATATTGTTAGATAACAAAGATTTAAAAGGTTCCAAACTAAAAAATATTCTACTTTCACTTTGGATCGAACCGGGAGTACAACTTCTTCAACGAATCGTTCAAAGAAATATAAGTCTGAGATTTATAGTAACTGTTTGTTTTGTTTTCCATATATATTAAATTAAAAACGGCACATTTGATAAATGAAAACTTGATATTGTCTTACTGTCAAAGCAAATAAACGTCCATTTTTTCAAAACATGACTTGTTGCTGTCCTAGAAGTAAACAAAAGTTACCTCTCTTACGTCACAAGTGCTATCATTTGGCGCACTTTTTAAAACAATTTTCTCTAATAGAAATAAATATTTTTTAAAGATTCTGGTTAAATTTTTCGATATATAATGTTTCTCTTTAATACTTAAATATGAATTTTACTCTTAATTCACACAAAT